TTTAGAAAGTGACAAACGCTAGTTAAACCAAGATTAAAGTTAAGCGACGTTTGGCGAAAGCGGGTCCCAATCGCGGGCTGATTTTCGCGATTTAGTGTAATCCGAGCCTTCTTCGACTCGTGCCACTTTTCGCGGAAACGTTTCCCGCGCCACGTTCGAGCTTTCCTCCTCTGGAATCAAGTCGCGCGCGACGTAACAGAAATTAGCGGCTCGCGCAGTTTCTAACATTTGACATACATTAACAGCGAGTCATTTATCGAGGGCAATTATTTGACCGTGGCCGGCGCGACGGTAGACGCAGTTTGCAAATCATTAACGCGGAGAGAGCTGGGCCCCGCGCAAATGAGCTGATCCAGAATCTCTCTGATCTTCCAGGAGGCACGGACGGGGAGAGGGTAAAAGGGGGGGGGGATAAAGCGCTCCGCCGCGGACGTATTATTCTTACAAATTGTGATTTTCCGGGGCACCGTGAAACGCGCAAGAGCGCGCGGTACAAAAGGATTCAAATTATTGCGCTGGTAAAAAGGTATCCCGCTGGCTTCCGCTCAAAAAGCCTACGAGATAGTTACGGACGTTATATCGCGACAAAACAATGTAAATTCCGCAGAGTGGAAATACACATTTTACCCGCCTTTTGCTCCGCCGGGTAAACAGCGGTAAAAACATTCCGCGTATTCCGATAAATATATAATGCATAGCGATACAGGCTCGGCCGGACGTTTAAATATCTCGTCCCGGCCGGCATTTATAAACGCGTAACGCCGACGTTATCTCGGCGAGTACACGGCGCGGCTTGAGAGACCCTGGCAATATTTCAACTCCCTAATCATTCTTAAACTACTTTACATACTTTCGATCTGTTTGGAAAGAGCGAGCGCCGATTTATAACGCGCCGCTGTCTACGTCCATTAGACCTACATCTGTTCCCGCGAAACTTTACACCGCGATCAAAGGGGGGGGGGGGGACGAAGTGTAGATATTTTATATGCAGCTCCGTTATTTTAATGCCACCGATGCTTTCTTACGTGCAACCCGCGCGCTCCGTTATCGCGGCCGATTCCCCGGGGCGACGTACGATGCCGATTCCGCCTCGACGAAAATACATATCGAGATCGCTAATAAAATAAAAGATATTATCTCTCCCCCACGCGCGCTCTCTCTTGTGCACTTTGGAAATATACGAACGCGCGCGGCGTCCGCGTAAACGCGTATATTCCCGCCGGGTCACAATTAGCTCGCATTGTTCGCCACCCGCGGCAAATACGGCATCTCGTAATCGTTAATATCGCGATCGTATAACTTGGACTCTCCCGCTTCTAACGACGTCGCCTCCTTCCGTTTTTAACGAGTGCTCGCCTGAGACGCGGCGCGGCCGCGGGTTACGTCCGCCCTCTCTGCAGGTATGTACACACGTCTCAAGTTATGTATTAAACGGGAGAGTACGGGGCGCTCTTTAATCGCGTTTTACAACCAGGCGGAACGCCGTCTCGATCAATGGCGCATTACTTTTCGCGTCCTAGAACTCCTAGACGCCACCGCGCTATTATCGCCATTAGAAATGACGATTCGGATCGCATAATCCCCCGACGTGTTTCCGCGCTATCCGTTCGAGTTATTTTAGTCAACGTTCGACGTAGCCGCGGGTAAAAAGTTAATTTGCGACTTTCCCGCCGCGGACCGTCGACTCGCGAGCTCCCGGAGAAGCTGGGAGGGGTTAGATTTTTGCGCCAATACAAAGTAACGGCTAATGATTTCGCGCCCCGTCGCGCCTTTGTCGCGACAAAGTCGCGCGGCGCGTGAAAGGTAGAACAACGTTAGAGGTTCATACAAACTGCAGTTTTACGCGCTCGCCGGCCAAGTGTTAATATCCCTTCGGCGTCCCACGGCAAAACATCGCGTCGCCATGAAATTAGCCGCGATGACGTGTCGAATTTCGCTAATCACCGCTACGCGGCGCGCGCGCGCGCGCTTTCGCCTCCCCCCCTGCGTGTCGAATCGCAATCGTCGCGTACCTTTTTGCCCGCTCGCCGGTAAAATCCAACGTACAAAACGAGTATCGGGAGTGTCGCGGCGGCGATCGTCTATTATCGTTCGGTCCACACGATCGCGACTTAACGCGTCCCTCGATCCCGGCGTCCGCTGCGTCGCCTCGCGCCAAGTTAGCCGCGTTCACGAATTTCCCTAGTCGACTACGGTACGTATGTACATAGTTACATACGCGCTGCGCGTCTCGCGGTGCACGTCGGATCGCGATCGCCGCGCGCCTTTTCGCCGGTCCCAGGTAAATTCCGCGCGCAAACGAGCGTCGGGAGTGTCGAATCCGGCGATCGGCGTCGCCGATCGACCCCGCGCGCCTGGTCGAGTCTCAAGATCGACG